TATGTATATATGTACAGACATGTATATATGTATATGCCGCTGTTTTATTTATGGAGCAAGTAACAAAAATAATTTCCCACTGGGATTATTAAAGTATTTCTGATTCTGATGATGGACGGATGGATTCAGATTGTATCCCCTGATGACGTCAAGCCCCGCCCACATCAAGCCCCGCCCACGCTAAGCCCCGCCCACGCTAAGCCCCGCCCATGTCAGGGACAGACATATTGGAAATGCTGACGTAACAGGGGGGAATTCGCGGCTGAATTCCTACTCTTTACACGTAAAAATACGTCAAGACTACCTCCGACTGAATTCTTTCTCCTTACATCGTAAAAATACGTTACGTTAATGCGGTGGTGTGTTGTCAATTTAGTATCGAAATTTTTTTTTTTTTTTATCGTTAAAAAATATATAGGTTCAACCGTAAGTGTGAAATAGTTCCGGTCATGAGGCGGAGGTACAATTTAGCATCGAAAAAAATGTTTTTTTATCGTTAAAAAAATATATATTTATACATTGGTTGCGGTGGTGTGTTGTCAATTTAGTATCGAAAAAAAAGTTTTTTTTTATCATTAAAAAATATATAGGTTCAACCGTAAGTGTGAAATAGTTCCGGTCATGAGGCGGAGGTACAATTTAGCATCGAAAAAAATGTTTTTTTATCGTTAAAAAAATATATATTTATACATTGGTTGCGGTGGTGTGTTGTCAATTTCGTATCGACATTTATTTTTTTTATCGTTAAAAAAATATATAGGTTGTGTCCCTGATGTGGGCGGGGCTTGATGTGGGCGGGGCTTGATGTGGGCGGGGCTTGACGTCAAGCCCCGCCTTCCTGCAGGATGCAGCGGGATGTACTTGTGATAAGAGGCAGTTTAAAAAGTAAAACCGGTATTATTGGACATATGGAAGTTTGGTAACAAAAATGAATAAATAAAGAAGTTTTGGGTAATCAAGGGGGGCTTCTAACTAACAAAGCCTCCCTTGGCAAAGCAGTTTTGTTCAGCATTGCACGGTACGCAGATGTCAGTTCTACTACCATAATGCTGAACAGGACAAGGGAAAAAAA